ACCTGGATATTAACCTGTGTATCAAGCTAATGAACACGATTTTGACCTTCTTGTATAGATAAAAGGACATCTTTCCCTATTGGAGCATGCCTTCTTGCCTTCTTCTTTATTTTCCGCTCATTTTCAGCTCGTAGAAGCTTGATTTCTTCTTGAAGAAGAAGATTCGTATTCATTGCCATCTGCGCGGCCTTTTCGAGATGCCGAATATGAGCTATTAGACTGCTAGATAGCTTCCTTTTTTGTATGCTTCTCTGTATAGTGCGGACCTTGTGATCAAGCTGGCGAGGATTCTGAGGAGTTTGAAAAGCAGAGGAGATAGAGCCTCTAATAAGTGGTGGTGTTGGCGTACGAAGTTGAAAGGTAATCTTTCCAAGGACCTGATCTTCATTTAATGGCTTTAGACCAGCTCCTGCAAAGCCATTGCATATATTTGCTTGGTTAAACACCTTGTCTCGCGCTGGAGGATATAGGTGCAGGAAATCCTCCTTATCGATATGATTATTTCCAGCCATCATCATTCCTTCAACTAGTTTCCCATAGGCACGCTTAAGCGGCCCGAAAACGCCAACATCCGTGGTTGTAGAAGATGAGAAGTATGAGGTGGCATGCAGAGACAGATGATTGCATTCTCCTCACAGAAGGTATCAAATTCTGGAGTTAAATGGCTAGAATGGCCATCGAGGATAAGCAACCGCTTTGCACCAGTTGAATAGTGTTTAGAATATGGTTCAAACACATCCTTTAACCAGTGAAGACCAATTATATCTGTCGTCCAGCCGTTCTCACTCTTTGCAATCTTCCAGTCCCTATTCCTATCCTGAAGAAGCATAGGTTCTTGATACCAAGCAGCCTGGTGTTCTTTTTTCTTCAAGATAACCACTGGTGGTATAGAAATCCCTCTTGAACTGACACATTCAATGATCGTGACCCATTCGCGGTTTCCTTGGATAACTGTACAAGGTCTCTCACTGCGTTCCACTGCAGTAATAACCTTAGATGTTGTGCAGAGCCCCATTGCAAAGCCAGTTTCATCAAAGTTCCAGATATCATCTTCATGTATGCCGTGTTCCTGAATAGCTTTGCGTACAGTCTCAAACCACTGTCTGATAACCTTGGGATCCTCCTGTTTCGCCCTCTGGTATGTAATCCTTCGATTATACCTTGTACGTAGTTCAGGGCGACGTTTAGTAAAGGAATAGGCCCAGTTTACTCCAAGAACTACCGTTGAATCTTGTGTACGTTCACGGAGTAAAATCTGTGCCATTCCACGCAGGAATTCTGGCCGAATTGAGAAGCCTCGCTTATCTGCATCTAGCAGTCGCTTAACAAGTGTTTCCTCTTCGTTGGCTGTTAATTTATGGCCATTTGCACGTGTTTCTGTTCGTGGTTTGACTCCAGCTAGCCGCTTGCGAAGGGAGGATTCAGAGACACCATATATCTGGGCAGCCTTTAATTTTGAATTAACTTTCTTCTCTTTCCATGCAGTAATTGCCATTTGCATACGGGCTTCCTTAGATAGAGGCATTTTATATATAAAATGTAAAGAAATGGCGCGTTAGAAATGGTTGAATTGAATGTTTTGGTGGTTGCGGCGAAAAAACTAGTTAACGTAATCCACGGCCGAGCCGCGAATACGACCGAACCGCGAATTTTTGCCGCAAATCATCCTATCTTTGAAGCTTTTCAACCACCAACGTCATTAATTAGACTATCTACTAGCTGAATATATGGCTATTTATTAGGGCAACTTCTTCTAGTATGTCCAATAGTCCAACATCCACTACAGGTTGGCGGAGCGCGCTGACGAGATATAGGTATAGGCTCATCAACCTGCTCATCAACCTGCTCATCAACCTGCTGAATACGGTCACGACCTTCCTGCACAGATATAAAGAGGTTATTCCCTAGATTAATACGCTTCCTTGCCTTCTTCTTCATTTTCTGCTCATTCTCAGCCCGTAGAACCTTGATTTCTTGTTGTAGAAGAAGGTTTGCATTTATTGCCATCTGCGCAGCCTTTTCAAGATGCTGAATATGTGATATTGGACTGCTAGAAAGTGTCCTTTTCTTCTGAAGACTTTTCTGTAGACTGCGGACCTTTTTATCAAGCTGGCGAGCATTTTGGGGTGTCTGAAAAGCAGAAGATATTGACCCTTCAATATCAATAAGAGGTGGTGTTGGCGTACGGAGTTGAAAGGTAATCTTAGCAAGGACCTGGTCTATATCAAGTGGATTAAGACCAGCTCCTGTGAAGCCATTGCATATATTCTGTTGAGTAAAGACTGC